GCCGGAACGAGCTCAGAAAAGGACCAGCTGGAGGACCTACTGCCAGTTTCAGGACAGTAAGAAGCTCTCGGAACCAAGCCAGTGTGGTGCGGGAGAAAAGACAGATGACCAGATGGATGGAAAAGAACAGGAGGTCAAGAATCAGGCCCCCCCTTGTACAGCCAATCCATCGTCAGCAGAGGCTCTGAAGCTCTTGAAGGGGGAGAGGAAAGCGCTTTCCACACGAGCGCTCCAGCAGGCAGAGGCCCCCGGCGTGGGGACAAAGCCCAGCCCCCGTCACAGCACAGCAGTCGGTCCAGACGCAGCGCGGGCTCAGGGCCAAGGTCAAAAACAAGCGGAAAACAGAATCTCTCCATGAACTAGGGATACACAGAGACCTTCTAGACAGAGTGTGGATGGCAGTAACTACAAATAAAATACTGGTAAAAAGGACTTCATCAAAACTAGAAACTTCCACTGAGAGCCGGAGACGGGGATACAAAATCTAGTCCTGAGGAAGCAGCAGATAAACCCAAATAACCTGTCCGCATTTTTCAAACAGTCACAGCTGAGAAAGACAAATGCTGAGGAATGAGTTCAGATTAAAGAAACATGTCAACTACACGTGATATGTTAAAGAAAAGTTAGTGTGGAAAATAGAAGTAATATACAGCCCCAAGCCAGGGGGAAAACACGTGTGTGCGCTCATGTGTGAGGTACTGGGACTGCTGATGAGATTTCAAATTGGACCTCGGGGTGGGGGCAGACGTGCATCACTGCAGCAGAGTTAAATTTTCTGGCTTTGATAACTGCACTGTGATTGCATTAAGTAAACGTCCTTGTTCTTAGGAAACGCACACTGAAGTATTTAGGGGTCAAATCCCCAACGTCTCCAGTCGGGGAGAGATGGAGACGGAGGGATGGAGGGTGGGGAATATAAATAATCAGAAAACCTGCATACAGGATACATGGGAATTCTCTGAACTATTCTTGCAGTTTTTCTGAGTTTAAAATCATAATAAAATTTAGTTATCCAAAAAAAGGTAAGGGGTCAGAGTAGGGGCGGTCCTCACTGAGAAGGTGGCATCTGGCAGAGACAAGGCTGGGAGGCGTGGGTGGCCTCCGAGGAGGAGGGGCGGCGGGCCAGCTGCGGCTGCAGAGGACGTTTTGCAGGCCCTTGTAAGGGCCTGAGCTTTTGGACGAGAGAAACGGGAGCAGGCAGGGGGACAGTCCCGCCGGGAGGTGAGTGGAGAGGTCCAGACTGGACACACGAATTTGCCTGTGGGGCCGGTTTAACACTTCAAAAACACATCCAATTACAAGCCTAAACTATCTGAGCCTCGGGGCAGTCCTCGTCCAGCCAAGCCCAGCCCCATCCACCCGCTGGGTCTCTGAGGCCAAAGGTTCAGAGGAAGCACTGCAGGGGCAACCCCCCACCCCCTGCTTTGGGCGTGAAGAACACGTAAAATTTTTACCCTACTTTACTGAAGTAAAACCTGCATATGGTAAGATGCGAAAATAGTACATATGCAGCTCAGTGACTTCTAAAAAATACGGGCATCAAGATTTACAGCATTTCCAGCATCTCAGACAGCTCCTGCAGGAAGCCCTCCCGGCACCCTGCACCGCCCCGACGCTGCCTGGTAACGGGCGCTAGCTCCGCCCTTCCATCGCGCACCGCCGTCACGTGGGTCAGAACACACAGACAGCCGGTCCACACGGTGCCGAGAGGCGGCCCAGGACAAAACACTGAGAGGTGGACAACAGGTGGGGAGGGCCCCACAGCCGTGCCAGGTTCCTGCCTGAAGGCGTCTTCTGCTCTGAAGCCCCAGGAGGCGGCTCCCTAATGCCGCTGCGCTGAGGAGACAGAGACGGGACTTCAGGGACACAGAGGGGCTGGGTCCCCCAGGCGAGCTCCAGAGAGGGGGCAGCTGTGCAGAGAAGGAGCTCCAGGAATCTGGAGGGTACTCTTGGGTCTTCAGCTGAATATGAAGCTGCACATGGAGGCCAAGCAAAGGGAAACTCCTGGAATTCACAGGAGCTGGGCAACACCGCTTCCCGACCATTCCAGGAACAAATGGCCGCCTGGAACCTCCCGTAAAGGCCACACCTTATGAGTAGGCTTATTTCAGTCCTAGAGCAAAGGCTGCTCTCAAGGTGCTCAGATGAAAAAATTAACCCCAAGCCTCCAAAAGATCAATTAAATGCCTGCCAAAACAAAACGCAAAGAACACACACGTGACGGTGAAGAAACGGGAACGCCCACCCGTGGAAATCAGTCGCTACAAGCAGATCCAGAAATGACACAGATGATGGAACGAGAAGATGAAATTTTAAGACAGCTATCATAAATGTCCAAGAACTTAAAGGAAAAATGAACATAATGAAAGAATATACATAAAGTGTCAATAGA